CTGAAGAGGCCATCGCGAAGGGTACTCGTCGTATCGTCGCGCTTACCGGACCAGAGGGCGAACGGGTACGTTGGCGGCAGCATCCTGTCCCCTCCCCTTTCCTGTCTTTTTGCTTTCCTCGTGTCCTTTTCCATATTCCGCTCTTGCTACGGTCCTACGGTAAAACGAAATCAAGACACACGGGCAGGGAACTATAGAGCGGTGCTTGAAACGCCAACGTGTACAATAACCGCTTACTTACGAATTTTAAGAAGGGTGAATTTTCCACAACCTTCAAAAGTTTCGCGCGCCGCCGTTGGTTCATTTGCGATTGGTGATGATATTGAACTGCAGAAGGGTCCTCGGAAGCCAACATGTATAATAATAAGTTTCTGTTCGGCCGTCGTTAATCCAGTCGGGGTTTGTGGTGGTATTGCAAAAATTTACCTCAGTGACCTCGCCCAAGGTCAGCGAAAGTCCCTCAACTTACACGCGCAACTTTTTTAATTTGCATGAATATTGCGCATGTCCATTCGAAAGCAAGCTGCTGGACCCACTGATGAACCTGATCCCCTGTAGCTGTTTCAAAAAGCGCCCGAATACCATCGAAACACGTGTCTGGGCTTTTAAGTGGTACCTGTGCTGCCAGTATGGTAAATTTCCATACCCTAGTCATTCCCGCCTGACGGTCGAGGGAGGTCAATCCTGTTTTTCCAGGATCCCTGTCGACTCAGCTAGATAGTGACGTCGCATTTAAGGAAATAATTAGAAAAAAGGGCTTACTACCAAAGTAGAAAGTAGTATGTCTGATGACATGCAATGTTCGGATGATGGTACACTTGTCTAATTTTCTAAATCCTCTTGGAAAGTACGCATAGGCGGAATATCGGTTGGTGTCTCACGATCTCAGTCGCCTATCGTAAGGGGTCTTATACTCAGTAATTCGGTTTGCTAAGTGATCTGTGTACAAAGCATCCAAGAGGTAATTCTGATAGGGGGTTTATCCTACGCGTATGTGGCTTCTCAATCAAAGGGGCGGCTCCCTCTGCGAGCCGGAGACGGAATAGTGTACCTTATTTCAACACCTTATTCGTTTATCATCTATGGATCTCAAGTTTCTTCCGCATTTTGAACGGTATTATCTCCGATATAGCTTCCCGTAGGCATCAGTGCGGTCACCGCGTGTACTCCTTCTGACTCCTATGAAGACCGTGAAGGGGCGAGGTAGAGTCTTGAGCCTCCACATCCAATTTACTAAAAATCTTCCCTAGAGTAGAAGGTTGAATTAATCTCCACATGGGTTAGTATAACCCACGAACACACAGACTGGAAAACGTTCAAGCGAACGTTATCGCCCCCTGAGGCAGTTCAACCTTACTCTCTATTCCAAGTGCTCAGCTTTTTGCCTGCAGATATTTGTAGGGTGTGTGGTTGGCTGAAGGAGCACACAAACCTGAGACAGCGACTGTTGTCATCTTCCCTCATTGGTGTATCATCACCTCTTCTCTTATGTGTATTAGGGACAGTACGATCTCATAGAGTCGCTTTCGGCCACGTTCACCTACTTGGCCCTTAGGCCCCACCATCCCCTCAGCATGCTGTGCAGTTGGACTGAAGTCCGCAACATTGATAAGGCCTCACCACCCTTATCTTTTTTTTAGGCGGAGAAACAGGCAGATCTCCTGGCTGACGAGGTCTCCAAATTCGTTGAGGCCGTGAATGCAGCCACAAGCGCCAAGCCTGTTAATGACGTCCAGTGTCGTCAGCTGTCGCAGAAAATTCCCTCCGTCCTGGACAGTGTCGTCACCGCTGCAATCAGCCTCGGTCGAAGGGAGGCCCTCCGAGAGCGCCTGCAAGCCGCCAAGCAGAAGCTGGACGATCGCGACAAGCTGGCCAAGTCGACCCTTGCCGCTGAGGTACAAAAAATGTATATATTATATCGCGATCAAAACCCGGCAAGACTACGAGCCCGTGGGCAGTGGCTAGAGCTTCAGACTTTTAACTCACAAGGTTTGAGCCTCGGGTGGGCCACAAATATATGAGGAGCCACTTGGGGTTGGGTATGACTGGCTGACGATGGCTATTAAGCCAGAAGTGGTCATCCTAGAGTCTCCCTTGCCTTTGTCGGTAATGTCCTTCTGCCTATGCCTCTCACACTCGATTTCACATCTAACCCCCTTGTTTTATGCAGCACTAACTTCATCAGAGTACTTGCGTCGTTTTCTTTGCTATGTAAAAATCAAATCCTCAGATGAAATCATAACCATAACAGTTTCTTTATTTCAAACGAAGCTTTATTTCAGCGATGATGCCCATGTGAGCATTAAACAAGTCAACTTAAACGAAGGAATAATCAAATAAACGAGATCGCTTTCTATGTTTATGTCCGCGGTAAAAAAATATGCATTTTGGTTGCGGTTCCAAATCATCGGTGCTGTAAAGCTAAATACGGTAAAAACCTTTTTTTACTGCGTTTGGCGACAAAAAATAATTTTTAAAAATCTAAAACGCACAAAAGCAAAATTTTCTTTTTATTTCGTAGGGAATTCGTTCGATATCAGGAAATCCGCAATCCCTCCATAATTCAGCCTATTGCCCTTGAATATACATGGTGTCCACGAAGTCTGGGTACTTAGGAGATAAATACATACCTTTAGAACAAAACAATTTTATTTAATTATAATGTTAAGGACAGCGTGTATTGAGACACGGAGCACGTGAGAACAAGCAGAGCGAGTCAGCAAGTCAGTCACACAAAAAGGCTCCAGGTTATATTTCAGTGCGCATAGCGGAGAGGCGGCAGTATTCACGGTCCAATCAGATAGGACGGAAAATCGATAATTATTGACGCGCTGTCAAGCCACGGCGGGGGACTTTGCGCTGCAGCTGCGCTGATAGCCTAAGCGTTGTTGACTAATCATGGGACTCTGCCGTCCCAACAAAAATAACATAAATAAAATATTAAAATTCCTATGTACCCAGACTTTGTGGACACCCTGTACATGGTGTCCCAAAAAATGTATACACATTTTAAATAATTGTACAGTTGATGTTTATCATGATTTTGGTATTTCAAAAGTGTAAAAATATTGACAAATATCATTTTATTGTTTTTTTCATTGGACGTTCTCAAACTGACGTCCATTTTGATCATGACACTGCTGAAAACACGAAGCAATAGAATCGCACATACAATGAAACAATTTTCTTGGCACTCGGGTGCATTCATGCTTAATGGCTTCTCTCAATTCAGCTACTGGTGCAATAGTCAAAATGCATTTAGAAAACGATAAAATGATACTTATAAATATGGTTTTCATTTGGGAAATAGTAAAATTATAATAAACACAATGTTTACCATTTTTAAAATGTGTATACACTTTTTGGGACACCCTGTACTGAAGTGAACTGGCAGTTTTCATTAATAGTGGGCTTTCTCACTTATTTTATTTGATCAAACTAATGTGAGCAAATGTATGCTAAACTACAACATCCAATTTCTATCAGGACTTTGCACGAATTATCTCAACTGCTGTATCTGATTAACACTCAGATTTCACGTTACACATTTCCCCATTTTTAGACAGTACGGTAACAGTTGCTTTTAGCGACCAGAACGCCTACTTCGTACAACTGTCTACTTATTTCATAGTGGTAGACATGCTCTGTTTTATTACTTTAGTATCGGCTATTTCCCAGCCGATGCCTCCACATATAATACTGTTTTCGTGTGCTGTTGTAATCACTAAACGTGACTGTGTTGCCCACAGTGCCAACTCATTTATACTACTTCTTTCCTTTTTTGATTATACTTTTCCCTTGTAATCCCCCTTTCCCCCCTACCCCTCTGTCTGCAGGTTTTGGAAGATGCACGCAAGCTGTGTGCGCAGACGAAGCAGGCCGGCGCTGGTGACTACATCGTCCACGTTTTTAAGGCAGAGTCTAATGCCAAGGCTATAAATGCGGCCCTGAAGGAGATGGAGAAGGCGCTGCCGGCGACCGCAGTCATGGCGCTCTCCGTCGACAAGACCGCCAATAAAGTCCTCTGCCTGTCTCAAGTTCCAAAGGTTTGTGGGCACACTTTTTTACTGAGCTGTGCTGCTAACTCTCGCTTAAACGGCCCAACTGACAGTGTGATATCGTGTCCCGATATCGTCTTGTTGTCCGGTAAATGCGGGCCGATGAAGCGGTTGTATGGAAGCCATAAATAGTTTGTTAAAATAACATGGGGTGTCTGAGTATCTTTCCCGGAAACGTTTTACAACTCAACTGCCTCAATGCCTCATTGTATCCAAAAGACACTGTTAAATGGAGCGACGGCCACAGGTAGAGATGACGCATGGGACGAAATAATTAGAATAAAAACACTACTGACACCTAGGAGGTAGTATGTTTTAACCCCCTCCATTTCTCGTGTCTTTGGCCTTTCCTCGTATATAAACAATCTCTACCCAAACAAAACCTGAAGCGGCTGGATGGAAATGCACTCACAAACCGAGTCACGGCACATAATTTTCCTGTTATGTCTTGGGTCTCCGTAGGCAGCTGCCCATCGGCTGGTAATATAAACAGAATGACATAAATAGCAAAAAGCAAGGGAGGCTGTAAGGATATTTTCCAGCGTATTAGCCGTCATCAGCCAGGCCTATCCTATTCTTGAGACTCCAATCCGCAGTCCGGTGCTTAGAAGTCCAGCGCTCAATTGGAAGTTCGTTGACTAATCCCATTAGGGGAAGTACACGCTTTGGACTTGAATGCGGTCCAATCACAAGCATCTGCATAGCGATCAGGAATATGTTTGCGACCACCGTTCGGCCGTCCACTGCTTTGACTCTACTCCAATTCTCTGTCCTTCACTGAACTGTTTTTCTCACAGACCCCTTCGCCATGTTCGATCGTTCGATAGGTTGGTTTCGCTTTCAGCGTTAACTTTTTAGCGTAACATCGGAACAGCTCACCGTGCCCAAAGTCGCCAGCTGACAAGTTATCACCACCTTACTTTCTTTCTCTGCACTTTTTCCAATGTCTAGCCCCTGATTGCCCGCGGCCTGAAGGCCAATGAATGGGTTAGCAGCGTGTCGGCAAAAATTGGTGGCAAGGGTGGTGGAAAAGAGGCGTCCGCTCAGGCCACCGGATCGGCTGCTAGCTGTCGCATCGAGGAGGTGGTCCAATTGGCCCAGTCTTTTGCCACTTCCAAGTTGGCTGCTCCTGCCAAGTGAGCCGCAACGCACCACCCTCCCGACCGGTGCTTGTCTGCCTGCATGTGTGTGTGTTTTTGTAATTCCCTCGTTCTGTTATACCCCACGCC